CCCAAAACAGTGTAAATTGGAGGAGAATTAAATTTGGATTGTTCAGAAGGATGGGGATAAAGAGAAATTTCCCTGACGGCTGCCCTGAAAATGTACTGTTTAGCTATGGCTTGGTTTGTTTACAGCTATTGTTCTATCTGAATTTTTTCTGCTGACACTATAGATCCTTTTGAATTTCTCTGGAAATCAAAAGGGTTTTGACTAGCCTGTGAATGGATTTTTAGATTCGTGACACACACTCTGTATTTCTCTTTGCTACATAATATCAAAACAAATTATTCCGTCAGAATTAAAATTACATCATTTTCTTCACAAATGAATCTCACTATAGCCAACCTTCAGGGAATAACCTTGTAATGGCTTTTGTTTGTGAAAGCACATCAGACAATGGAACATGGGAGATCCTGCTCAGAAAACCAGAGGATAAAGACCATATGCAAATGCTGGCAAAATGCCACTAAGAATAACTCACAGCAAATGAAAATATATTTCCAAAGGAGACTTTTACAGTATCCAATTGACATATCTCCTTGTCTTTCTTTGCTTGTGCCAAACTCTCCAGAGATGCCCAGTGAATAACTATCACACGGTAGTAATGCAAGAGCCACTGTATTTTCCAGTTGAGTCTTTAATTTTTAGCCACAGTGGCACATCAAATTGTAGGTTGACGCTAAATGATGGGACACTGGGTACATGATGATGTAGAGTGCAGTTCTGCCTTTCACTGATGTAACACCTCAAGAATCTAGTGTAAAACTTTCAAAACCTCCTATGTAATTTAGGCATAGTCAAAAGTGACACAAGGACAGTGCGAGTTAGGTGACTAAATATCTTAAAATCTGGGCCGTAGTAGGCACTAAACTGCAATGACTTTCAATAAGACTTAGGCTCCTAACTGCCTAAAAGCCAGATTTTAAAAGTATTTAGACACCAAAAATTGCAGCTATGCCTAATTCCCATTGAGTTCCTAATATTTGTTTCTTTAGGCATCTAAATACATTTAAAAGTCTGGCCCTAAATCACTTTGGAAAAATGGGATTTAGGCTGCTAGGTCATTTAGGTGCTTTTGAAAATATTACCCTTAGTCAAAAGTTACTTTTTTCCTAACTAGTTTCTCTCTTAGGAGACTTGTGCAGTTTTATATGCAGATAAAACTCCCTTTATTTGCAGAGAATAGTTACTAGCTGTGTTTACCACAAGCCAAACTTCAAGCTAATTTGTCTTTTTGGCTGGACTAGACTGTACAGATTGAATTTAGGTATGAATGTAGGATCCACTTAAAGGACAAATGTCTCCGACCTGGTTTACACAGCTGGTCTCTGCTCCGATCAGACCCGCCAACAGCAATTCCAGGCCCCAGGGCAGAACGGTCAGTGGTCCCCCACGCACGCACAAGCTGCGCCCGTGCGGACACAGTCCACCTGACATTTGGGCGGTGCTGGGCCTGCGCTGGCTGGTGCCCAGTGAACTGCAGCTGTGCTGGTGGGCTCGCTCTTCCGGCACAGCCAGGGCTTCCATATGCTCTCCCAGTTGGGTTGCCAATTATCTAATTGTGCAAACCCAAAGACCCTTGCTCTGCCCCTGCCCCGTCCCTTCCTTGAGGCCATGCCCCTATCCTGCCACTTCTCCAAGGCCCCACCCCCTGCTCACTCCATTCCCCCCTCCCTCTGTCGCTCGCTCTCCCCCACCCTCACTCACTTTCACCAGGCTGGGGCGGGGAGTTTGGTTGCGGGAGGGGGTGTGGAGTACGGGCTTTGGGAGGGAGTTTGGGTGCAGGTTCTAGGCTGAGGCAGGGGTTTGGGGTGTAGGAGGGAGGCAGGAGGTCAGCACTTACCCCGGGTGGCTCCCGAAAGCGATTGGCACACCCCTCTGGCAGCGGCTCCTAGGCGGGGAGCTCAGGGAGTCTTCGCGTGCTGCTCTCCGCAGGCACCACCTCTGCATCTCCCATTGGCCGCAGTTCCCAGCCAATGGGAGCTGCGGAGTCAACGTTGTGTGGGGGTAGCACGCAGAGAACCCCTGCCCCACCCCGCACCCACCAGAGGGCCATTCCAGCCACTTCATGGAGTGACACAGAGTGAGGGAGGGCAGGAAGCCTGCCTTAGCTCCACTTTGCTGCCGGCAGCAGTGGCCGGGGGCCCCCAGGTCCTTTTAAATTGCCTGTGCTCCATAGCAATTGCCCCTTTCCCCCTCCTCCCCTGCGTCGGCAGGCCTGGCTCTGATCTTGTGGTTTCCCTGCTGTGCATATATAGAACTATCCCTGATATCAATGGAAGTTCAATGCATGTATATAGAGCACTGTCAGAGTGCAGATCTGGTATTGATCTGCTAGAAGAACTTTGTTCCGTGTAGCTGTCTAGTTATCAAAAGAGGGACCTCAGTAATCATTTGCCAGAAAGTCTCTACTTTATCTGCAAAATAAGTCTGATTGTTACCTGAATGCTAGTAATGCACACAAACCATGAAGGGAGGAGAAGGCTCAATCCTTGGCATAGTATTTATCGTACATAGTATGACTGTTTTAAATGTAATATAGTAAGCAGCAATATTCACTTTAAAGGCCTTCATCAGTCAGAATGCTGTGCCCAGTTCTGGTGTCTAGGCTATAAAAAAAGGGTGCTGCAAAGCTGGAGAAGGTTCAGAGAAAAGCTACAGGAATGATTTGGGGTCTGGAAAACCTGATTTACGATGAGAGACACAAGGATCTCAACCGGATTATGTTACACAAGAGAAAGATAAAAGGTGGCTTGATCACCATCTGCAACTCCCTACTCAGGAGAAAAATAGTCAAAGAGAGCTGTATAACAGACAAAGGCATAACAAGGGGAGAATGATAAAACAGTTCTTCTTCAGTAATGCAGACGGTGGTGTTTTAGCAGCTGTAACTTTTGAGTAGATTCCCATTAGGAAATGTGCCAGGGTACAGGCCACTAAAGAGTGACTGCTCCCCTGTTCAGCCCCACTGCACCAGCGCTACAGAACCCCAACCTTGGCGAGAGAAATCTGCAGTTTGGTCTCTGTGGTCTCTTGAGACAATCTTCTGGAATACTTCATAGAATCATAGAATATCAGGGTTGGAAGGGACCTCAGGAGGTCATCTAGTCCAACCCGCTGCTCAAAGCAGGACCAATCCCCAATTGTTGCCCCAGATCCCTAAATGGCCCCCTCAAGGATTGAACTCACAACCCTGGGTTTAGCAGGCCAATGCTCAAACCACTGAGCTATCCCTCCCCCCACTTCTGTTTACACTTCTCCCCTTAAGTTTGGGATCTTTTCTGCATCATTTTACCCTGCTCTGTGATGTGTAGATCAGGGTATCCTATGGCCCTAAACAATTAAGCAACAGCACAGACAGTGATGAAAGGAAGCATGTCTTGTATTTGTATCCAGGCAATTCAGATTTAAGAAGCTGGGGACTTTCCACTGAAAACCACCAGAGGGCACAGTAGGCTAACTGTTGAAAAACACACAGCAATTGAAATAAAATGGGTAGACAACGTAACAGGTCTTTCCTTTCTCCCTCTATTCCATACACAGTTCACTTGACTGACTCCTTGTTAAACAATCTGACTCACTTGTCTGACTCCTTGTTAAACAATGGGCCTCTAGCTCTTCCAGAATTGAGCGTATCTCCCTTTCAACACTTTTAACATTGAAAATAGTTACAAAAATCTTGAACACCAGAAATTTCTGGGTGTTTTTTCTTATGTTACTTTATCGTTTTTGGCTGAAAACTGTTCACTCTTCATTATCCAAATGTCTGTTGAAAAGCCCTTTAAAATGTGCCACATACAACTCTGAGCACACTGCTGGCATGGACCAGATCAATAATAGTAATAATTAATAAATTCAGTAACCCTTGACACCATGATTGGTGATAGTAGTATAAACGTAATGATAGCTGTAATTGTCACACAGTCTATTAGAAGAAGGCACAGACAAGCTCTTTGATTGTGGTCTTCACACCTATTTACTGATATATCTTAAGTCCCAAAGGTAACTTTTTTTAATAAGTTTCATTAACAGACCTTTTACTTGAATGGAGGAAAATAGAGTCTGAGTGCTTGAATTCCTATAGCCCCTATTAGAGCTTCATATAGTGCCTCCTAGGCAAAGCCTTCCTACTAACACGGCCTGCCAATCCTTTCTATCCCAAACTGGCAACTGACCTGCACTCCCACTGACTTCAATGGAAGGTCTGCCTGAGAAAGGTTTGCTGGATTGTCCAGGTGAATAAGTGACACCAGAAACTGCATCGCGTTTGTGAAAGAGAGTGTTAGTGCAAGGGTCTGAAATTTATATTACTGAGAAGTGGCAATGGAATAGTGGAAACAAATGATAAAGTTTCAGAGAGTTTTAGAAGCTAAAGGAAAATCAGTGGGAGCGGAGAAAAACAGAAATGAGGATAAAAGGGACAGGCTTGTAAAGACACGAAAAATGAAAAGACAAGGAGAGGGAAGTGGAAAAACAAGGGGGAAAGTGGCAAGCTGAAGACCCCAATGCAGAGAGTTCTTGGATGGTCTTTTTGAACAGCCCAGTGTGCTTCCAAGCACTGGTGACTAGAAAACTTGAAACACCACTGAGCTATTCCAATTCTAGGCCAAATTACGTTCCCTCTGGATGAAATCTCGGGTTTATCGCTGTCATTCATGCTTTATAGACAGTTACAATATACACACAAAAGCCAAGGTTTAAAAACAATGGTTGTCTAAAGTTACACTCCTAATTCCGTATTTAGGCATCTAAACAAGTGGTTCATTTTTCAATAGGGCTTAGCACCCAGCAGCTCCCACTGACTTCAGTGGGCTCTGTGTAGCACCCAATATGTTAAACTCTGTTTCCAAGTGAGTGAGACATTTTTTTCAGTTATACTAAACATTCATTTATCTCCCTGCACTGTTTGTGAATAAGTTTTCCTAGCACAGAAATGAACGCTTCAAAGTAATCCATATTTTTTCTTAATGTTCTCTTTTTTATCTTCTTTTCCCCTTTCTTGTGTTCAGTGCCCAAGCAAAACTTACGACCCGTTGATTAAATCTACCAGAGATTTTCCAGATGATGTTGTTAGCTTTATAAAACGCCATCCATTGATGTACAAGTCTGTTTACCCAGTGACTGGAGGACCTGTATTTACTAGAATCAATGTGGACTACAGGCTGACACAGATTGTGGTGGATCATGTCATGGCAGAAGATGGGCAGTATGATGTTATATTCCTAGGCACAGGTAAATTAAAGAGCTCTCATAGTTCTTCAAGAGCAATATCATAGGAAAGCTAAATAGGTTAAAGAAGATCATTTGGGGTCCTCATCTATCAAGAATCTTTCCATTTACCAAAGAGGTAACATTATTCCCATTTTACAGATGGGGAAACTGAGGCACAGAGTGGTGAAGTGACTTGCCCAAAATCACCAACAGGCCAGTGGCAGATCCAAGAATAGAACCCAGGTCTCCTGAGTCACACTCCAGTAGGCCACACTGCCTCCCCTTTACCACACAGATGAATTTTGCAGCGTGCCCTGCAGTTCAACAAATTTGACTGTTTGGGACACAACTGGGGACGGGAGTGAATTTCAAAGCCAACAACGTCTCAGGTGCAGGACTTAAGTCTCCAGGGCTTTTGACTCAGCCTTTCTCGCAAGTACTAATTTCACTAGCAAACAAGGTGTCATGAGGTGTCTTCCAGCATCCATACACTTCAGGCCAACAAGTGAAGAGTGAGATGGACTGGGATTTTAGCATGAGGAAGAACTTCAGGGTGGTTGCTCTCACAGCATGGTTGGCTGTCCAGGAGCAAGCACTGCCCCGATCATGGAGAACCTTCATTGCTTTGCCTCTCTGAATGAAGTCTTTCTGACAGCAATCAAAGGAGGAAAGTAATCATGCACTTTCAAATACCATGAAACCCCTACAATTCAAATATAAAAGTTACATCTGAAGCATACACACAACATGCACACCCACGATCATTCCCATGTTACACATGCTGAACATTTATGAAAAAATTATACATCCGTTCGAAAAAGGTAGATTTGCTGCCTAACACATGGAATATTGTTTTGGCATGTTCTAGAATTTGCATTGTTTTGTGCTATCCTCTACTGCCATAGGTTTTCATACAAAATTAACTTAAATTAGATCAATAACCTTCTGTCGGGTTAGCTATTCATAGATAGCACTGACATCTAATTCTTCAATGTAATTCTTCTTTAGGGTAGAGATTTGGAGGTGGCTAGGTACCATGTAGTCACTAGTAATTTGAATAGAGAGAAAATTATCAGCTCCAGCACCTTTTAGTTAAAAAGTGAGCTATTTTTTTTCTCCAGAAGTACATGGTTTTATTTCATGTTATATTTTAAATCTATCCTGTGGAAAATCAGGCTGAAAGATAATATTTCAAAGATTATACAATGAATCCATAAAAATACACCAAATAACTCGGGAAGTTTTGGCCACCAGAAGATCAGGAGCTTAAAATATGTTTGAATATGTTTAACCAACACTGCTGGAGAATTTAGAAAGGCTGCCTGTTATGTATAGATATTTCAGCTGCAGCCCTTTTTATCTGTGCAAGCCTAGATAAGAGAGTGGACATTACTGACACAGAAGGCAGGTAGTGACATTTTCTAGCTTCCACTTGAAGTGCTAGGGGTGTCATCAGCTGTAGTCTCCTACTTTGCTTTAAAATGTATTTTTGTTGTTTTAATACTACTTGTTTTATTTGTTGTTTTAATACTACACATAATATTTAGTACTGAATGGGCTTGATTCAATCCTGCCTTGCATCTTCCAGACATCCAGGCCATGCCCCTTCACCAGCCTGTGAGTTTTGGGGGCAGGATTGGCTAGCCCCCTTGCAATGCTGGGATTCCACCAACTGGAATTCACACCACTGGGGATTCCCAGGAGATGACCAAACCTGGTGTTTTTAAAGGGATTTGCAAATGTCAATGAATTTCATCTCCCCTTTGAGATAGGGAGGTGTTTTAATTCATGCTGAGTTTGGGAAACTGAGGCCCAGAGTTTCTGAAACCCACCCAGCGAGTCAATGACAGAGGTGGGGTTAGAACTCCAGCATGCCTAACTCAGTCCAATATTCAGTTCCCTAGACTTCCAACCCGCCTCCCTGTGTGCTATCCTGTATTCTGTCAGGAAAACGTGCAACCCACGCACAAGGCTTTATGCAGCACATGAGTCCCCTGTTAGGGCCAAGTGGGATGTGACTGTTGCAAAGGGCCGTGTTCGGGCACAACTCTCACCTGGGCTTCATTTTCAAAGGCATCACTCATTGCAAGCCCAAATACGTAAATGCCACACAGCTTTGGTGTCCCTTCACTATTATGGTTGGATTTATTCAGAGTAGAAATGCAGACTCTTGGAGCTGAGGTGATCCAAAGAGTTGTTTACATTAAAATAAGGGATTCCATTGCAATTTAAATCGCTGCATTAGTAACATTTCTGTATCCCTGACTTTGGGTCACTGGCACATAACACATCCCACATTTGGGCCTCAGCAGGTGTGAGGTTCCACCCTTAACGCTGTGGGATCTTAAACAACTGTTTAGTTTGATTTTAAAAGCACTTCAATTCAGTTTTAAGTATGATCACACCATGCTGCCTAGGTAGTCACTCAGGCTCCCTATTCAGCAAAGGACTTTAGGCCCTTTATCGTCCTTAAAACCGTTTAAATAGATAAATTCTTACTGAAAAAGAAGGATGATACAGTAGCTAAGGCACTAGAGTGGGGCTCAATAGACCCTGGTTCAATTCCTTGCTTCCCCCACATGTTTCTCATGTGAGATTGGGCAAGTCTTGCTGTGCTTCAGTCCCCCATCTGTAAAATGGGGATAATAGCTCTGTCTCACAGAGCATTCTAAGGTTAAATACATTAAAAATTGTGAGTTGCGCAGACACTATAGTGATGGGGGCCATACAAGTACCTGGGATGGACAGACGTATCTAGAAAGCAAATTCCTGGCTACATTAAACAGGATCTCTGATGTCTAGTTTCCTTTATTATCTTCTTTATAACTGCAGTTTAGAGCATCACTTAGAAAAAGAATGGGAAGGGGAGTCAATATGAAGTCAGTTAGCAACAGAACTGTACGTAAACGCTGAAGCACAACTACTGCTTTGTATACTACATCCCTTTGTTTCAGACACGGGAACGGTACTGAAAGTTGTGAGTATTACAAAGGAGAAGTGGACTATAGAGGAGGTAGTACTGGAAGAGCTGCAGATTTTCAAGGTAAGCTTTACCAGCCACTGAATGTTTAAACAGCATCAGAGAATAGTTTAGGGGAGTTTTAAGCCTTGAGGAGTTTAACCTCTGAAGCAATTCATTTCTCGGAACTAGTGCAAGTTC